CATTGTTAGCATTCATTATTCAATGTTTGACTTTAAAATGAAAAGAAAATACAGAAAAATAAAACTAAAGCTAATTCACTTTCCACACTAAAATCAAAGAATACTGAAAATTTCAAACTTAATTTTATTAACATTTGCCTCATTAGTCTTTACAGACAACAGGAAGGTTTGACTTCAGCATCTGAGGTTTAGGGGGTAAAAAGTCTGACCAGATCCTGTGGACCATCACATTGTGTCATTTTAATATCGACACATTAGACATTCACTCCTCTCTGCTTTGGCTGTTATTACACAACAATGTATTGTAAAGGTTTTTAAGAAAAAAAAGTACATATTTTTGTTAAAATTTATCAAAAAAATGCTTTGGTTAAAAATATTTTAAGTTTATTTTTTTTATCATGATAAAAAAATAAAACCATATAAGCAGGTCATATGATCTGTGCTGTTTTCTGTCTGTTCACAGACTGACAGGCATGTTTCTGAACTGTAAGTTTCTTGAGTGAATCTGTTACAGACAGTTGCTTCACGGCGTGTTTCCCTTCAGGAAAAAAAGTTTGGCAATTTTCTCTCTGAGAATCATCTTTCACTTTCCTCAAGTATTTTCCAGTTGTTATTTTGCTGAATTTTTGACATAGTTTCCATTACATTTTGCATAAATAAAACCTATTTTCTTTCACGTGTTTAGATATTTACAGTGGCAGCGGCGCGCAGGACACGCTGCTGCGCGTTTGATTGGCAGCCGTTGCGTCTTTGCCTTATTATGCCTTTTTTTCTTCTCTCCTCCTCCTTCTGCATAGAATGCAGAGGGAGAAATAAGGAGGCATTTTCTAATGGTTGTAAAATGCAGCCAATAAAAAACGTCGGTCGATTGTTTCCCCTTCTTTTCTTTTTTTTCTTTTTATGTCTTGTCTTTGATCAGTCAAATGCGGGACTTTGTTTCAACTTGCACGAYGTCGGGACAAGAGTGAAACATGTGAGACAGTCCCGCACAGTTTGCCTGGGGCTGTAGGTAAATTACCTGCTGATTATAACTGTCCTCTGTTGTGTGGATGAGAGAATACAGAGGAGCTGCTGCAGCAGCTCTCCTCCTGTCCGAGCGTGCAGCACGTTCACCGAGGGACAGCGCACAGGATTGCTACGGGCGTGCACGGCACACGGTGTGTGTGGTGAAGGGAGGGTGTGAGGGCAATATTATTATTAATAATATTAATACTGTTGCCATTATAGTTGTACACTAAATAAGAAGTGCAACCAAGGGCGACAGATGGAGCATAACAAAAAAAAAGCGGGTTCAACAGGGGCACATGTTGGTCTGGAGGGAAAAGGGCAGGTTCTCAAGCACCAC